ATAGATAGATAGATAGATAGATAGATAGATAGATAGATAGATAGATATAGATAGATATAGATATAGATATAGATATAGATGATATAGATATAGATATAGATATAGATATAGATAGATGGATAGATAGATAGATAGATAGATAGATAGATAGATAGATAGATAGATAGATAGATAGATAGATAGATTGTAGATAGAGGGCACAGGGTGAGTTGAAGATGAAGGGGTCATATCTGGAGAATAAAATTAAGGGGTGAGAGAGGATTATACTAGGAGAAGGAGAAAAGGAAAGGTAGAACAGAGTAAATTATCTCACAAAAAAAAACAGAAAAGAAAAGGCTCTTACAGTGGAGGGGAAATAGGGGAAGGGGAGAGGGAATGAGTGAATCTTATCCTCATAGGATTTGACTTAAGGACGGAATAACATATACACTCAGTTGGGTATGGAAATCTGTCTTACCCTACAGGAAAATAGGAGGGGGAAGGGGTCAAGAGAGTAGGGGGATGATAGGGAGGAGGGCAGATTGGGAAAGGGGGTAATCAGAAGCAAATACTTCTGAGGAGGGACAGGGTCAAAAGAAAGAATAGAATAAATGGGGGGGTGGGAGAGGATTAAGGGAAATAGAGTTAGTTTTTCACAGCATGTCTACTATGGAAGTGTTCTGCATAACTGCACATGTATAGCCTATATTGAGTTGCTTGCCTTTTCAATGAGGGTGGGTGGGGAGCAAGGAAGGGAGAAAATTTGGAACCCAAAGTTTAAAAAAACATATGTTTAAAAAAAATGTTTTCACATGCAACTGGGAAATAAGAAATACAGGAAATGGGGTACAGAAATCTATCCTGCCCTACAGGAAAATAGAAGGGGAAGGGGGGAAGAAATAGCAGGGAAAGCAGACTAGGGAAAGGAGTATTCAGAATGCATGCCATCTTGGGGTGGGGGGAGGGGCGAGATGGGGTGAAAATTTGGAACTCAAAATCTTGTGCAAATGTTGAAAACCAAAAAAAAAAGGAGTATATAGGAGAGTTTTCTGTGGGGCTCCTTCTATCCATAAAATTTAACATTAGATGGTACCATAGAGATCAACCTGCCTCAGGTCTTGGATGAAGAAGCTGGGGGTCAAAGAGATAAAGGAATTTGATGAAGACCACAGCATCATATAATAGATTTAGAACTGGAAAGAAACTTAGAGGCCATCTACTCCAACTTCCTCATTTTACAGAAAAGGAAAATGAGATGTAGAGAGATGAACATTGTGATTTGCCCAAAGTTACACAGTAAGTGGAAGAGGTGGCATTTGAACACAGATCCAACCTTCTTTCCACCACACCATGCTGTGAAGTCTAATGGAACATGGGAATGATAATGGGACCAAGATTTGAACCCCAGCACTCTGACTCCTAAACTAATGTTGTGTTCTCTATACCATGTTTCCTTCCATCCCAAAACCATTTCAGGCTAATTCCTTGGGAAAGACCAGAAATGAACTCTTTTTTTTCATATAACTCATTCACTCTGAATCATCACCATTTCTACATTTCCATTTTGCTCCCAATTCTAGCACACACCAAAATCACTCTAGAAGGAAAATTCCAAACAATTCCCAAGTTCTTTTTGCATACATTACATCCCTCAGGTCTAATCCAGTTCATACTTCAATTTTATGGAGAACTCCATGGACATTGTGCTTTCAAGTAGGTTTCTGGGCTTCCAACGGGAAAACCATCTCTGTTCTTGCAGTAGTCTTGATTGGTATTTTCTAAAATCTTTTCATTGTTGTCCATTTAGACTCAGGATTTAGAACCGAAGTGAACTGAGAGATTGTAGCATCCAACCTTGTAATTTTGTGGATAAGGAAACTGAGGTGGGGCTGGGCAAGGACTTATCCAAGCTCTTTCAGACTCAAACCCAGGTCTTCCCAACCCAAATCTCATTCTGTTAAACTAAATGACATTTTCAGGCCTTCACTCAGCTATTGACATGCAGGCAACTTCTACTAAAGAGCAAAAATATTAACATTCTAGTGCCTTATGGACCTAACATCTCACCAGAGTGGCCATTCCCTCCAACAATGAAGACTGAAATACACGAACACCTATGAATTCTGTACACACACAACACATGCACATAGATGTATAATGTACTTAATATCATAATAAAAATACATTTAAGAAAGTATTTTAAATAAATATTTAATTCTATTATTGGCATTTACAAGTAGAAAGCATACAGTATGTTACAATTATCAAATGTGAAAAATATGAATGTTACATAAGTAACAAATGTGAAAAAGTACTTTTCTTACTTTCCTGAAAGTAAGAAAACTATTCAGCATAGGAAAATATCAATATCAAAAACACGGCTTAAGTGTAAAAAAAAAAAGTTTTTTTTACACAGTACAAAGGATTTCCAAATGGAAGGGGAAAAAAAAAACAGCTTTTTTTTTTTGTCGGATTTCTACTTTAATAAATTCTACAAACACAGGGTATTTGAAAATGCGAGTCCACTAGGAGGCTCCCTTTATATCAATTCTTAAAAAAAAAAAAGTCAAGAATGCAGCACTTTTTTTTTTCTTTTTTACAATAAATAATCTTTGAAAAAAATGATCATCTGAAAATGCTGTACTGTTGAGAACAGTGCTCCCCAGTCACGGAGATAGATGGCAGTACTCAGGGGTGACTTCTACCCAAGCTCTTCTGGGTATAAGACGTCTCAGGGAAAGGAGGGATGGAATAAGTACCCACAACAGTTAGCAACAGAACTTGGAAGTCTTGAGACAATTTCCTCACCCAATCCTAAAGTGCTGACCAGAAAGAATAAGTTGCTTCTAGCACCACTTCCATGGAGAAGATTCATGACCCTACTGCATGCAAACCATCCAACGTATTGCTCTTTAACTATGCAAACATGAGTTACAGAAACTGGACTTTTAAAGGGTGATTAACACTATTTATTCCTTCATTCAGGCATCGGAGAACTCTTTTCCATGTTTCAAAGAGGAAATCAAATCCCCAATGTTCTGGCGATGCAGAAAAAATGAAGTTATTAAAATGGAAACAACACAAACACTCCACTGTTGAAACACAAATTCATTACCAGAACAGGATTAATTTTAACATCACCAACCCAACAGTGGTCAATAGGAATGAAACCCTCTTCAAATTCTGCATGCTGAATGTCTAGTTCTAAAATGCAGGAGAAACCAATTCATCATTCAATTAAAACAAATTAAATCTGTTTCAGCAGCATAATGGTTATTTATTTATTTTCTAAGGTCTCCCTTAACCGAAAGTTGACCATGGCCTGTTGTTGAAACACTGGCCATCTGTAAGCGCGGAATGGTTTGATCGCATCTGGTGTCGCATTGTTTTTTCCTGCCAGTACATAAAGTCTACACATATCGCTCTGCTTCCGCATCTTTGGAGGCAGGCTTACTGGTCCGACCAGTGCCTTCTTCACTGGCTGTTGTTTTTTCCGGGAGAGATGCCAAGTCTTTAAAAACATCTACATAATGCCCAAAACCAGGGCCCCAGTTTAACAGGTTGTCCCAGTTGAAATTTCCTGCTTGCTGCCCAAGTTTCAGGGGCAATGTGCTCTCAGCAACATTGGCTGCTGCTGCTGCTGTCTGTGTGCCCATGGACCCCCCCTCAGCCCGGCGGCCAGGGTACCTTCGAGTCTTCAATCTAGCCCCATAATTATCTTCATCATCTGCATCGGATTCATTGACTTGAGATAATTTGGGCACTCGAGAGGTGTAGCCCATGGGTTTTTCCCTGTCATATTCCATCTCAGAGCAAGTGAAGGACTCATGAGAGTCACTGTCGGATGAGGATTCCGGAGCCGGAATGCCATCGGCTGGGTTTCTTGTTCTGGACAGTGGCCTCCGGCAATCCTCCTCTGAAGAAGATCTGCCATGGTCTGCACTGCAGATGCTTGGATTTCTAGGGCGAGGAGTGTTTAGTCTTTCAACCTCCTCTATTGACAGTCCTACTGGAGGTGTAGATTCCAGAGGCATCTGGCCAATTGGCTGCTTTAGGCGGCTCCCCGGCCTCGAGCCATGGGCTGCCATGGTCTGGGGACTCTTGCTTCTCCTCCCTAGCCTGGTGGCGTAGTTGAAAATACCGGGCTGGCACACGTCACCGTGCATCTCCAAGGGGCCCCCTTCCCTTATGGAAAGGTGCAGTTCTCTGGCAGGACTGTTTCTGTAGAATGTTGAAGATTTAGAAAAGGGAGCTGGGCTGTGACGAGAAAGGGGATTGGGAGTGGGGCAAGCAGAGTGGCTCAAGGAACTGCTTCTCAGACCCTGGCTATACGAAGGCTGGTAAGTCAAACTGCTCGCACCCAAGGGCATGGGAGATTGCCTCGCGAAGCCCAGCGGGCTGTGTCTCTGGATGGAGAACTTGGGGGTGTGGCTGCGGAACTGCTTGTAATGCTGAATGATGTCAGCATCTGAAGGGGCGATGCTGCTGGCATTGTCGATGTCATAATGTTCGATCTCCTGCTCGGGGGAAGCCAAGGGAGCGCTGGGGATGGTTTCGGTATTGGGAGGAAGGTCTGTCTCATCATAGATCAGGTAGGGGTTTTCTCTTTCAATGATGTCAGGCTTGGGGTTTCCTTCCGGTTGCTTCCTGACTGTCATGTCATCACCATATGGAGGGATGTTGTCAGGGTCATCGAAAGCCACGTTCTCACTTCCTTTTTTCTTCTTCTCCTTGATCTTCTTCTCTTCCTTCGGTGCTTTGGCCTTCTTACCTCTGCACTGATTGCACAGAATCAGGCTTAAGACCAGCAGAACGAGAAGTGTGGCACAGCTGCCCACAATGGCAGGGACAGCCCACAGTGGCAGAGAGATCTCCTCTGGGACCTTGGTCAAGATACAAACATGGCCTCCAGCACTGCCAGCCTTGCATATGCTTCCCTGGGGACACTGGACGCCAAGGCAGGCCACCACTGTCTCACAAGTCCTGCCAGTGTGTGACTCTGGGCAGCTACAGGTGAATCCAGAGTATAATACTGGTTCACAACTGCCGCCATTTTGGCAAGGTTGGGAGGCACAGTCTCCAGGAGGAACACACTTGTAGGCAAACCACTGGTTGATGCACAGTAGATCCCCCCAACAGGGATTGCTGGCACAGATATTGGGACCTCGGCAGCCCAGCTTCACGGATGGATCTGTCTTGGATATAGTCGCCAAGCTGTGCTTCCCACCAAATGGAAGGCTCTCAGTGCCATAAATCACAGAGGCTATGCAGCCATCGAAACCTGCTGAGAGGACAAAAGAAGTTTGTCAGTCAATGAAAGCCTCATACTAGAAGCACCAGGGGGCCTGGAGTCTCAAGGCTCAGGGCGCCTTCTATTTCACTGCCATGGAAGAAGAGAAAATCAAGAGTTGCTTCAGTCTCAGAAAAGTCACAAATTCAGATGGGGAAATTCAGGCTCCTTTGATCATGGCAGTCCAGGATTTGTGAAAGACCCATGGGAGGTGATTGAGCATGGAACCATGATTCCTGGATGTGCCACATCAGCAAAGCAGGAACTAAATGCAAAGTGGGCATTTTACTTGTTGGGGTGAAGGGAGAGAAATAAATGAAAAATGACAAAACACAGACTATCAAGCTGTGTTCTGGTGCTTTTACACACCAAGTGAGCGGGGCTAATACCGCATTGATCAAGATGCCTGAATGAAAGATCCAACAATATTGATAGCAATGAGACAAACTTGTGACTTCTCTTACAGACAGAAGATTACAGATAAAGATTGGGGGTCCTTTTTAGAAAGGCAATGGCTAAATCCTTGTAAGAGAAGGGGATTGCAAAGGGAGGAAATCAGTGTGGAAAGACTCTTGAGAGGGTCAATGTATACTGAATGGCTTCATAAGAGAGCCCAGAACTGATAACTGATGTAACAGCTGGGTAAGTCCTAGTTAGACAGTAATTTTTCAGTACATCATGTGATATTTATCTTTTGGGCTATTTTTTTCCTCTTATACTTTGTTCATTGATATTTTATATGCCTGGGCTCACCCTATTCCCTTTATCACCCCGCTCCCAATTTCCTATAACTTCTCAAGGCAATGACCAGGCAAAGAAATAAATTCATTTATGGGTCATATATAAGAGTGATGGGTAGGGGGGAGAGGAGACATAACTGTGCCTGATTCAACACTTAATTATTTTATCTTAAAGCTCCTTGAGCTCTAGAAATAATTTTTATAACTCTCCCTTTCTATAATTCTGTATATAACATCTTTAAATGAGAAATCTCCAAGTTCATAAAAACTTTCCATTTTTCATCATTTAAGGTAGTCGTCAGGCTTGGTGTGTTGAGTTTAAAATGTTGAGGAAATGATAAGATGGCTAACTAACAAAAAGACAGTGAAAAGGAACTTCTAGCTGAACAGTCCTTCTACATATTGTAAAATAAAACAAAACAAAACATTAAAAAAATTAAAGTCCTCATGAACTGAAGCAAATAAATACAATTGCAAACGTGTGGGTGAGTTGTAACCTATCCAACCCAAGTCTGTCTGAATTTAGTCAAGGGGAAAGTTTAAGCTTCCAAATTATGTAAGGTAACATTAATTAATGGGGATAAAAACATCAATGTCCTACCTATTTGTATTCTTAGAAGTTCTTTACAGAAAGAAATAAAAAAAAAGAGTAAGGTACCCCCTCTGCCATATTGAGCTTCAGAATTCACTGTGGGTCAAGACTTCTTGACCTGAAGTCTGTGAACTTAAAAAAAAATATATTTTGGTAACAGTATTTCAACATAATTGGTTTCTGTTGCATTCCTATCTTTTTTATACATTTAAAAACATAATTCCAGAAAGGGTCCATGGGTTTCACTAGACTCTCGCCATATGGGTCCATGACAGGAAAAAAAAAAGTTAAAACCCACTGTTTTAGATTATCTCTTTCCTTTTGACCTTTATATTACTAATGAAAACTTTAGGTGAGTATACTTTGTCGTATGTCACAATATTACCTGAATTACCTGACAAAAGTACTTGAATTGTTTAAAAGGTTTAAAAGTCAATCAGATGTCTTGACTACACATCACATCTCTTAAAGAGGTGTCATGGCCCACCAACGGGCTTTTTCTGAGTGAACACCTGAACTTCCATCTCTGCACAAAACATCCTCTAATCCAGGGTGAATTGAGGAAAGACTCTGTTTACCATCCACTACAATTTGACTTTCCACAAATAAGATTCATTTCATGAATCAGTGACTGGTTTAAATATTTTCTGGCCAAGTTCTAGAGGGACGGGGATCCTGCCATTAGAGTTTTCTCTAGGAAAGAAGCCACAGCTGAGTGCAAGGGCCTCCAAAGATGTCTAAATATTTAAACTGGGTTGCCATTGATAAATGAAAAACATCTTTCTTTGTTATATGGTAAATATTAAAACATCACTTCAGGAAAATTTATATGTGTAATATTTTTAGAATGCTACAGAATGTTGGAGTTGGAAGGCCTTTTGAGATCATTTAGTCCAGCGGTTCCCAGACTTTCTGAGAATGGAGGCCCTTTTTTTGATGTTAAAAAACTTTCTTGGAACCCCTCATGTGATATTTTTTGTGCTGTGTCTGCTGACTGAGAAAATACGTAATTATAAAAAGCTCCTATGAATTTAATAAGGATTTTCACTGACCATCTTTCTCATATTACTACTACTACTACTATTAGCTAGCATTTATATAACGCCTTCTATGTGCCATGCATTGTGCTAAGTGTTTTACACATATTGTCTCATTTGTTCTTCACAACAACCTGTGGAGGTAGGTGCTCTTTATGGTTGAGGAAACTGAGGCAAACAGAGATTAAGTTACTTAGCTAAAGTCACACAGCTGGTTAAATGTCTGAGGCTGGATTTGAACTCGCATTTTTTTTTCTGACTCTAGGTCAAGCCCTCTCTCTACTGATCCATCTAGGTGCCTCAATTATCGTAATAATATCTACATATATTTGAAAAATAGCAATAAATATAAGACATATGGAATACAGTTATGATTTCAATGATATAGAGGACTTCTCCTTCTATTAACCCATGTCAACACCTTATCTGCAATTTAGAATTTTCAAGCACATTTTTGGAGGGGTGTTGGAGGAGGGCTCCTTGGGAATCCATGGGGAGATGTCCAGGGGCCTGTGAGTTTGGATGGGAAAAAATAAATACTACTTCATTTTTATTGACCTTTGGGCTCCTTTGTAATTCTATGCACTTTATTTTATGCAAAGAAAAATGTTCTCAGAATGGAGAGCCTTCATTAGACCATCAAAGAGGTCTAAGACATACAAGAAAGTCAAGAATTCCTGTCTTAGAGAGGTTTCTAAAGGACTAAGTGGTTAAGTGACCTGTCCAGGGTCACATGGTCCATCTGTGTCAGAAGTAGGACTTGAACCCAGGTCTTCTTTGCTTCAGGGACAGCTGTCTATACACCAGAGGAACTCTAGTAATACATCTATGTGGTAGACATAGTGTTATCTTTCCCTCTAAACCCACCATTAATCCTAACCTCCCTACTTCTGTTGAGAGCTCCACCATCCTTCTGTAAACTCAGGTATTCAATCTCACAATCATCTTAATGTTTCATCTCCCCCTCAGACTCCCATAGTCAATCAATGACCAAGTCTTACTAACTCTACTCTGTTAATATCCTTCATGTTTATCACCTCCTTTTCACTCATGAGGTCATCAACCTGCTTCACACTCTCACAACCTCTCTTTGAATATTTCACTAGCCTCCTACAAAGGAAAGACACTGCGTTAGACACTGAGTTCTAAAGGCAGTTGACTGTCTTTATGTGTGTGTGTGTGTGTGCGTATGTGTGTGTGTGTGTGTGTGTTCCAAATCTCTCTTTTCAGCCTTAATGGACACAACTTCCCTAGGCAAATTGACTTTCTCTCTATTTTCCATACATGACATTTTGTCTCCATTCTCCATTCTTTTATACTTATCATCCCATATATCTGTGATTCACTTGCTCCTCTTTTCTCCCTCACAGAGTTCCACTCTTCCTCTACTTCATTCAAGCACCATCTTATATACGGAGGCTTTGTAGAACCTCCCCCCCCAATGCTAGTACCCTTTGTCCCAAGCTATAACTCACATTTGACTAACTCATTTTTATTTGTTTGTATTCTTGAGAGAGAGGGAGGTAGAGAGTGAAAGACAGACAGACCGACAGAGAGAGAGAGAGAGACAGAGAGATAGAGAGAGAAAGGTTGGCAGCTAGAGTGTTGGGTCTGGAGTCAAGTACAACTGAGATTAAATCTAGCTTCAGATATTTATTAGCTATGTGACCCTGGGGAAGTTACTTAACCTCTGTCTGCTTCAGTTTCCTCAAATGTAAAATTGATGAAAACTCTGCCTTCCAGGGTTGGTGTGAGGATCAAATGAGATAATATTTGTAAGGTTATTTGCAAAAGTTAAAGCTATATGAATTCTAGCTCTTATTATTGAACTGAATTATTTATTTAGTCTTTAAGAGGTCTTTTGTTTTATTTATCAACTCCCGAACCACTTAAAATAACTCTGCATGCTTTTTGTTTGTCTGTTTGTTTGTTTTTGTTTTTCCTCCATTTGACTGTGAGCTCCTTGAGGACAGGATCCTCTCTTTGCCTCTCTTCGCATCCTCAGTGCATAGTACAATCCCTGGAATGAATGTTTGTGGACTGATTGCAGCCGTAAGTGTTAGGAACTATTGATTTAACCCCTTCTCTTCATTTTATGGATGAGAAGTTAAGACCATTAGTGAAAGGACTTATTTGCCTAGCTAGTGGAAATTGGGAGTAGAAGCTAGCTCTCACTTCCAATTCAGGCTCTTTTCACTTTGCCATTCTCCCCCAGCACCAGAATTATGTATTTTTTTTCTTATGAATCCTCCAATCTGGACATTCAAAGTGGTATATAATAGGTTTCAGATCTCCTTCGCTACAAATGCTAGACTGAATACTGTATGACAATTCTCAACATTTTGCAAAAATAATTTAGGATTATGCATTTTGATTGTGGGGCATACCCTCATTCCCTCTTTTATAGATAATACAGTATAAATTTTATTGGAAGTAATTTTCTCTTTTCTGTTTCTTTGCCTGTTCCTGTTTATTCTAAATATGTTTCTTTTAACAAAAAAATACATGTTGCTTTCATACATAATTGAGTCAGTATGTGGTATAATTTGGAAACACATTTTTTGTATTTAAGTATTTCTTTTGTGAGTGTTTAAGTATTAAGATAAGTATTTTAATGCTTTAATCTGGCATTATGGTGAAGACAAAAAACAGATTTTGAGCATGCGCATAAAACAGAAATTGATCCTCTGCCCCAAGATGGTTGTTGAGGTGAGAGGCAATGGTGTATAGCGGAAACAATGCTGGCTTTGGAATCATAAAACTTAAGTTTGAATCCTGGCATTTGAACTTGTTACTTATGTGACCTTGGGGGTCACAATCTTTCTGGCCTTCAGTTTTCTCCCCTGTAAAATGAAGGGGCTGGACTAAAGCCATCTTTAGTGATCTTGAATCTCTTCCTTCGACAAAACCATAAAGCAACAGGCAATAGCAGATGACTTTCTCAAGGACTTTGTGCTCTCCACATGCTTGACAGGGGCTTGTTTCCTAAAATTGGGTCATTCAACTTCCTAAGGAGCCACAAGTTGGAGAAATTTGAGTGATGGAGAGGGGTTGAATAGTGTCTGGAGGGAGAGATGAGGGTTTGAAGAGCAGTTACCACTGCTATGTTATCAGATGACTTGTTTCATGGTTCAACAAAACAAATAAGCTTATCTGAAACTTAAAGCCAGGGATTTGGAGTCATCATTGGCTGGAAGAGAATGAGAGACTACCTCGTCTGATCCCTTTATTCTACAGATGAGAAAGCCACGGCTGAACGAGGTTGTGGCACTGCCAGTCACACAACTAGTATCTGAAGAAGAATGTGAACACAAATCTTCTCCCCTCCAGCACATTAGCCACTCCCCAATTCTGTTTCTGTCTCGGCATTCTGATACCCGGGGAACGCAGCACGAATACTGTCCTGAAATTAGCCAGGGGCCGGATCACCTGGGGGAAAGCCATCGGGGTAGGAAGCTTCCTGATTGAGCTAGTGCTTCCTGCTAATTAGGTATTCATTTATTTGTCTCTATGATCTTGAAGGTATGCACCCACTCAATTCTGGTGCTTCAGATTAAGCCCTGGTCCTTTTAGCTAGTTACATCTCTGAATAGAAGCCAATATCTATTTTGAGAAAAAAAAAAGATATTTATTTATCTACTCTGCTTAAAAGCACATGGATTCATCAATTTTTTTCTAAGGGGATGAATGGTTTCTATCTCAGGGCTTCAGATGCCAAATCACTTTTGTTATTCTTTTTGAAATTTCTTTTTCATTATGTTTCTATCATAGAAAGACTCGCTTCACCTCCAAACATAGAGCTCTCCTGTTGTCAGGTCTTTTGGTTTCATGTAGATAATGTAATCCTTTTTAATAATGATATTCTATGCTACAAAATTCTTTACAGGCATTCTCAAAGAAACATGAGACAGGATCACGGATTCTCGAAAGTTTTCACATGCTGAATTAATACTAAATCCTCAAGGATATAATATTACAATTCATATGTTTTGGGTTTGTTCATTCAAAGTTGGTTCATAATGAAGTGTTGGAATATTGAAAAAAATTAAATTAATAGACTCATCCATCATCGTTCATCCACCATGGCTCAGTGGAACCATCTAAGAAGAAGAAGCCATGCCGACTGATAAAGGTGAGCTCAGCTTGCCCACTCCTATTCTTTACAGATGAGTATACTAAAGCCACAGTCAAATGGCTTGCCCAAAGTCACATATGGAATAACTTTCAGAGACCCACATCAAGATGTATGGCTCATTGGGTTCCTAATTCACTCTCTACCCATAATACCACTGTCTCTTGGTAGGTAGAGTGGTGCAGTAGATGGAGTCCTGGATTTGGACTCAGCAAGACCTGCGTTCAAATCCCTCCTCAGATACTTAGTAACTGTGTGAGCCTCGGCAAGTCACTTGACTTCCTCTCTCAATCCCAGTTTCCTCCTCTGTAAAAAGGGGACCATAACTTTTATTTCACAGTGTTTTTCTAAGCATTGAATGAGTTAATATTTGTATAATAACTTATAAAACTGTATGTGCACATATAATTATACTATATAAGTATATACATATTCAGGGTGTTCCGTGAGTCTTAGTGCATTTTTAAATTATTAAAGCTAACACTTTGCAGACATTCTGTACGTGAACATACATGATATATGATTCAAGTATTATATAATTACAATTTGTAATCATGTGTATATATTCATTACTTAAATGAGTTAATATTTGCATAACAATTTGTAAAAATTTACAAAAATAATGTATTTCTATACATATGATATACATATGTGTATAGAGATATACACACATACATATATGCAAATACACAGAGATTTTATATATACAGACATATACATGTATAGGTATATACACACATGCATACAATTATGCAAATCACAACGTACTATATATGTATATATATATATTTGTGTGTATGCATATATATGTGTGTGTGCGTCTCTCTCTCTACACACACACACACACACACACACACACACACACACACACACACATATATACACTTATATGATACCTACCAAAAAGAAGCCCTTAATATCCTGCTATATTTTAAAAGAAGCTAAATATTTAAGAAAGGGATGTCAGCCCATTGCTAGCTATGACCCTTTTGTCTTGATTCCTTTACCTCTAAGCAGAAGAAGCTGTCAGGAGCTTGAAAAAAAATGCTCCAAGAAATAGTCAGGAACTATAAGAAATGATTATAAATGGATTCCTCTAATCTGTCTGAAGGATTATTCTTTTTTATACTTTGATAAAGGTGCAGTTCACTACTACCAGGATCCTTGATTTTATCAAGGTGAACATTCATTCCACTGATACAGATCACAGCCCCTTGTTTCTTCAGTAGGTTGGCCTTATGAATTGTTGTGTCCAAAGGCCAGCCTTCTGGTGAAAAGGATATGCACTGCATGAGGGAGGTGCTCAGATGATGGACCTACATAGATTTGTCACGGGGTCCACACAGGCTCTTTCTAGAATGATAGAACTTACATGAGCTCTACTGACATAGTTTATGAGAAGTGATTCAGAAATTTGATGGTTTGTGTTGTGTGTTTTTTTCAGATTTATTTTTAATTTAAAAAGTGACACATTTATTCATTTTACGCAAGTCATTTTTATGCTCTGATGAAATATTTGGTGCAGGGCAGATGTTCTCAGAAAAGATAAAGTTATGATTATGCAGAAGTTCTGCTACTTTTTGTGAAAAGACACATTTTGCTGTGTCTTTTCCATTCTAATTTACCTAGTTATATCTTTTTTTTTAATTCTAATGTATTTAGTTACCAAATTTCTGCAATTTAAAGTATTACTTCTTTTTTGGTGGGGGTAGGGGAATCATAAGTTTAGATTTGGAGGGGACCTTAGCTTTATCAAGTCTAACACCATTTTACAAATTGGGATACTGAGGGAGATGAAGTGACCTGTCCAAAGTCACACTGCTACTCAGGGACAGTGTTCTGTGGGTCTCAATCAAGCACCATTTCTACCGTATCCCAAACAGATGCTTTTACCTGTATCAGTGTTCCGAGGGGCATGATTGGGTGGGATTCCACCAAGAGAAATGGTAAGCACATCAATTCCACCGAAATCCTGAGTGGGATGCAAGATATCCCGATTATACATTCTGTCTATCGACAAAATGGTGGAAGATCCATTTTTTCCCATCAGGAGAGAATGCCAGTGGCCATCAGCAACGTAAACCTCAGGGATATGCCTCTCAACTTTCCCAGAAACTCCAGCATCAGACGTATAATGGATTTTGCCACTCTTTATCTGTAAAACACATTGGGCACTGGGTGAGCTATGTGTTAAAAACAGCAGCTATCTTTAACAAGCACACAGAAACAAAGAACGAAAGAAATCAGTCATATAAACCATTAAAGTATTTCACGGTTTTGACAAGTTTATAGCTCATGGAAGAGCTGGCAGACTTTGTCTTACTAGACCATGCACCTTCTGACATGTTCATGCAATACCATCTTCTTGGTGAATAGCCAAGTAGCCATCTCAGTAGGGCCTTATTTGAAAGATGAGACAATGGCTACCTGTGTCATTTTAGGAGAGTCACCTAACATCCAGAGATCAGTTTCCTCATCTATAACAGAACAGTGGCCTCTGATGGCCCTTCTATATGAGTATGAACCTATGACTACGAACCTATGACTAGCCCCAGAATTTAGGGAAAGGGAGTAGTTCTGTGATTTCATTGGTATATGGAAGTCCTGGATGAGAAAACTCCCTATACCAAGTTGTCTAGAATAATGTGAGTTTAAGAGACTCATTCAATACATGTCAAAGGTAGGACTTGAATCCAGATCTTGCTGGCTTTGAGGTGAGTTTCTTGGTCACTACTGTTTCTCATCCTCAGGATTATATATCTGTGTCTATGATGATATCAATTTGTTGTTGTTATTCAGTTACTTTCCAATCATGTCTGACTCTTTGTGACCTCATTTGGGGTTTTCTTGGAAAAGATATTAAAGTGGTTTGCCATTTCCTTCTCCAGTTCATTTTACAGATGGGGAAACTGAGGCAAACAGGGTTATGTGACTTGTCCAGGGTCAGGCAAATCTCAAAGACTACAAAATACAGAGGAGATGGTGACCTGCATTGATTAAACTTTCTTTTCCATCCATCCATCTATCTCTCTATCATTGTGTGTATGTATACGTGTATATGTGTGTATGTATGTATATACAGAATAAATGTGAAGAGAGGGCACTAGCAGTTGGATGGATCAGTAAAGACTTCATATAGAAGATGGCATTTGATCCGCCATCTTGAAGGAATGGAGGGACTCTGTGATATGCGTTGCAGTCTGGGCATAGGACACAGCCAATGACAGTCATGGAGTCTGTCATGTGAGCAACAGAGAGAAGAGGACAGATTAGCTAGATAAAATAATGTGGGAAGAGGAGTAATACCCAAGGAGGTTGGAAAAATGGGTTAGGGGCAGCAAAACAGAAGATTCTGGATTTGATGATTGAGGTAATTAGGAGCCTCTGAAGGTTATTGAGTAAGGGAGGAATGTGGTCACTCTGCACTTAAAGAAAACTGTTTTGGTAGCATTGTGGAAGATGGCCTGAGCATTCACAAAAAGAGCCTCACTTAACAAGTGGACTGTTTAGACTCCACTTGAAAAATGAGGCTGCAAGAGGCTATTATCCAATTTCAGGCACAGCCAGGAATGGGTGGCCCCAAGACTCAAACTCCAGTATTTTGACCCCAAATCCTAGGCTTCTTCCACTATATCATGCTAATTCTCTGCTTGGGAATTTTAGGCAGGCTGAAGCACATGGTTTATTTATATACTTTGCTGAAATGTGGAAAATTTGATATGTAAATGGTGAATTTCTAATAACAAGTCTGGAAAAGCATTAAGCTGGCCTGAGTTTTCCAAGTTCTTCAAGCACTCTGTGTAGCTGGTCACAGGCCTTTTGGAGGCCTGGGTTGCAGGATGGTTCTGCTCCAGTTTCTAGGGCCAGCTCAGGGCTCTGGGCAGGATACAGGAGGAAGGGCAAAGTTCCAAGAATGTAATTCCATTGCAACTGCCAGACAGTGTTGATGTCTTGGCATGAAGGTAGAGCTCAGGCAACGGCTACTCAAATGACAGGAATGGAAAGATAGAGCCATATATTTTGCCACTCAGACCTGTCATTTTTTTTTTCATGCAACTGAATCATGTGTTAGAATTAAAATGCAATTAATATCTACTTTTTGGGAACACTGCCCAACAAATCTATGGAATGACTAAAGAAAATGAAAACAAATACCCTTCATTTCTACACTGCAGAGAACAATAGATTTACACAATCTTCTTATATGCCAATAGCATTCAACGTACATAACCTCACAACCAAGACAGTGGCTAAGAGTGTATGCTCTGTCCTATTCCATTGCTAACTGAGAAGTCAGTGGGATAGATATGGCACTGGACTTAGAAACAGGATGATCTGAATTCAAATCTTACCTCAGACAATTTCTATCTATGTGATCTTGGGCAATTAATTTTATGTCTTTATGCCTCAGTTTCCTCATCTGTAACATGAATGAGGGGGCAGATTCAAAGGACTTTAAGGTGGTTTCTAGTTCAAAATGCAGCTAATATACTCGTCATTGGGACTGATTAATTGGGGTGGATCTGCTCTAGATTTGGGGTAGTGAGTGAATCCTCTGTCACCTCAGCCCTTTATTTCAAGCTAGTTCCAGATCATGTTCATCTCATGCAGCCATCCACAGAGACATAAGGCCTGGTCAAGGTGGACTTCTGGCCCTGTGCCCTGCTACTGGTGAGCATGAAAAGCCCCCTTACTTCTTTCTCCTATCCCCACTTTGTAACCTCTTGATCAGAGAAATGATGAAAACAATATTACCATTCCTACTGGAAATACTATAACAATCTAGGGCTCCATTCACAATGGTGTGGATCTTGGATTTGGAACCAGAGGCCCTGGGTTCAAGTCCTGGCCCTGACACTTCTACTGGACAAGTTACTTCTCTCTTCTGAGTTTCAGTCTCTTCATCTGTAAAATGGGAGGTTTGAACAAGATAACTTCTAAGGTCCCTTCCTACACTCAGTAATTGCTTTACTAGTATAATATAAGATCCTTGATGACAAGACCTGTTTCACTTTTGTGTTGATATTCCTAACTCCAGGCATACAGTTTTTTGTTGTTTAGTTGTTTCAGTCATGTCTGACTTCATGCCGCATTTGAGGTTTTCTTGCCAAAGACACTGGAATGGTTTGCCATTTCCTCCTCCAGATTATTTTACAAATGAGGAAACTGAGGTAAATAGTGTTAAGTGACTTGCTCAGGGTCACACAGCTAGTATCTGATGATTTGAACTCAGGTCTTCCTGACTCAAGGTACAGCTCTCTGTGCACTATTGCGTCCCCTAGCCACCCCATCTGGGCACATAATAGGTGCTTTATAAGTACTTGTTGGTAAATTGACTCTGTCTAGAATTATGCCCTCCTATTTATTCTCTTAATCACTCATAGATTTTTTTGTGTCCTTTCTTTTAAGGTATCTCATAGTGTCTGGAGATTTAGGAAGTTTGATATCCTGTAGTAAACCAGGAAAGGTAAGGAAACCAAGCCATTGTTCATAGACACATCTTATGAATTTTTCCCTTCTGTCTTCCATTCCTCCAATTGTCTCTCAAAGTCCCCAACCAAATTGCCTCTTTTTTTCTTACGCTAACACTTTGTAATGGGCCCCACCTATAAGAAATTGAAGTTAGGGGACAGTATACTAAAGTGCCTTCTAGATGTATTCATATTATCTCATTCAGAATGTCATAAGCTTACCTTACTATCATTTCTTCTTTCTACATACTTGCCCAGCTTTCCTTCCCATTCATGGGCAGCTAGGTGGCACAGTGGATAGATCACTGGGCTTGGAATCCAGAAGATTCATCTTCATGAACTAAAATCTGGCCTTAGAGACTTGCCAGCTATGCGACCCTGGGCAAGTCACTTAACCTTGTTTGCCTCAATTTCCTCATTTGTAAAATGAGCTGAAGAGTGAAATGGCAAACACTCCAGTGTCTTTGCCAAGAAAACCTCAAAATGGAATCACAAAGAGCTGAACACAGCTGAGTGACGACAACTCCTTACCACTCACCCTCTCTAAATATGTCTCCCCCTGTCAGGTTTCCTCTTCCCATACTGCTGAAGTTTCAAACCTAGGCAACTGTAACCTTGGATTCCATTATTTGGGTTTTGTTCTTTTTTTTTTTTTTTTTTTTACAAATATGCTCATTGATTATCTATGATCTCATGTGTGAGGGGACTTTCTGATTCAGAAATTTCCTCTACTAATAAAGATGGATAACTGGGGCACCAGTTAAGTCATCTGTCTAGGGTCACAGACTCAGCATATGTCAGAGGCCAGACTTGAACCCACGTCTTCCTGTCTCTATTAATATTAGCACATTGATAATAGAACACCCCTGGAATACATATGAAGCAACATATTTCCAGTGACAAAGATGGATCCAGGCATTGCAATTCTTGCATGAGGAAGGAAGGTGTCACCTCAGATTCCTTTAACCACATTGAATTACACCTTGAAATATTTGGCTTATACAGATCATAAACTGAAATACTGGATATGTCAGTGAACTGGTATGGGGACTTGGAAATAAATGAACGGAAACTGCACAAATTGCAAAGCAAAAAGACAAATTCAGCCAACAAAAATAAAAGCAAAAAACATCTCAAACCACAAAAAAATCTTGATATTCTTTCCAAATTTGCTTTGAAAATATTAATTCTCTTGTTTCCTTATTCCTGTTGTTTTAACTAAAATAGAAAATCTCTTGAAATGTAATCTGTTTTCTAATTCATCCAATTATTTTTAGTTTTGTTTTACTTTTTTTTTCTTTTCTATCATCCAATAATTTGTAGAGTCAACATGGTGAAATGAAACAAATGCTAGATGTCTTGGTTTAAGGAGAAAATTAGGTTCAAAACCTTCTCTGACACATACTTTCTGTATGATGTAACTTGGCTGTCTCTTAATTTCCTCATCTGCAAAATGCAGATGAAACTAGTAGCTACTTCATTGAGTTATTGTGAGGATCAAATGAGATGATGTATATAATAATAATAATAGATAGTACTTCTAGAACATTTAATGTCTTCAAGCATTTTATATATGTTATTGACACTGTGAGGGATGTGCTATAATTATAATTCCCAGTTTACAGCTGAGGAAACTGAGAATGAGAAAAGTTACGGGACTTGCCCAAGGTCACACAACTAGTATGTGTCTGAGGCAAGATTCAAATTCAGATCTTCATCACTCTATATTCAACATTAGAGACACAAATTGATGTCCTACATTTAAACGATTCTTCCAATGGTGCAAGTAGCTGCCATTAATGTCCACCTATCCTGTGTGACTCGTTTTCTTGCCCTTTTGTAAGGTTGTGCACTGAACTTCCTGAGGACCTTCTTTACTTTCTCTGCACATTGTAAGGATATCAGTGGATCGTTCTAGTTGTCCACCTTCCAACTACCATCCCCATCATGAGATAAATGTGACTTATTTTTAACTGAATATTTTAATGGCATCCTTTATTCCTGTTCTTTGAAGTTTCTTACTTGCTCATACCCACCACCTGTCTTTCCTGTACTTTCTCTGTTATATTGTTGGCAATAGAAATTTTTCGCCCACTTTGTTTTTCCTATTTAGATGGTTAGATTCTTTGGAGTAGCAAGGCATCTTTTTCAGGAGATTGCAGTATTCTGGGGCTTGGTAAAACTAATCAGTATAATTTCAGGCTATGGTATTCCATGTAAACCACTATGAAATTTTGTTTTATTTTGTTTGGTTTGTACTTGTGATATCATTGTTTTAGGGAACTCCTTTTACTGATACATATCGACAGCCCTTCTGTAATTTGTGACCTTAGAGAACTTCCCAGTCGATTAAAAGACTAAATGGCTTACCAAAGGCACAGTTAGTGTGTCATGGACAGACCTTCAACCTGAACTTTCTGACCTGAAGACTAGCCTTGTATTCATTGTTCACACTCTCTTTCCTTACACAATTATTAGTTATTCATCATTTCATTCTAGAATTGAGCCCTGGGTGATAGAAGCAATGGAGCTAAATAATTTTAAAGCTGGTGTAGAAATTGTCTTTCCAAATTCTACATTTTTGAGATGAGGAAACTGAGGCTCAGAAAGACAAATTAAAGTGTGTATGGTTGAACAGCTAGTAGTTAGGGACAGAGGCAGGAACCAAACCCAGGCCTCTTGACCCCCAGTTTAGCTGCCCCCACTTCTTCCAAGAATGGTAGTTGTCACTAGTAGACATCCTTCTGCATAGAATCAGGTGATTAGCATCTTAGAGATTATCATTTTTTCAGTTTTGTTTTTAAATCACCTTTAATTCTTCATTGTTTGCTCTGCCTCATAAAGAGATTCATAATATTCCCCATTTTCTGTATAACCTTTCTAAATCATTATGAAATGGATGAGAAGATAGTTTCTCATTTCACTTTTAGTATTTCCTAAAACTGATTCAGGAGGGAGAAATTTAGGGGATTGTGGAGTTAAGATTTGCAGAATCTGGGTGGAATTTTTAGAATTTTACTTAGGTCTGCTCCTATATACCAAATCACATCTGTAATGTCACATCCTCTTCCACCTCTCTCCCTCCTCCTCTTTGCTCATGAATCTCTCAGTGACCTAGGAATCATTTTGCTCAAAGGAGAGGTAGAACCCAAAAGATCTGGGCTCTTCTTCAGAATTTACTAAGATCCATGACCTATAAAACACCCTGGGAATATGTTTTCTGTATAAAATTACATATGTGGAAACCAGACTGGAGTAGCTGAGCAAAGAAGCTAATGGCCTTACAGATGAAAAATACTCATTGTGGGTGACTTTGAAAACATTCCTAAAAATTAAGGAAATTGACAGTAAATCCCTGTCTAAAGCAATGCTTTGTGAAATTAGTTGCTACCTCCATTGGTGTGAGGAAGACAAAAGACATCCTGCCACCACTGGATTCTTTTGTGAAAGGCAATTTCTATTGAGTATTGACATTAAAGATCTCTTGGCCAACTTTTTAGAAAACTTGATTTAATTATAAATTTAAAAGACATCGAATGTCATCTCTATCCCTTAACACAATGAAACTGTTGTTTTGTTCTATAAAACAAAAATGAGAACAAGTAAATAAAAAGTTCGCCTATTTTCCATCTGCTGAGTAATAAGCATGTAGTTGGATGCGAAAGAAGTAAAGAGAGATGTCTCTCCCCTTCATCTTCTTTCCCCCCACCCCAATTCATAGGTGTTCATTTGGTGGAGGGGAAAAACACACGTGGCAAGAAAAAAATAATATACACTTATTTTATAAAATGGACAAGGGAAAAAAATCATGACAGACTAACAGTAGTCATTTTTCTTAATTTCAAATAACATACTTAGAAACTCAGTCTTTCAGACCTTTGTTACTCTTCGTTACTGAAATTCATGCCGAGGGAATATAAAAGACAGATGAAATTGGACAAGTGCCCAACATTCATCTAAGCTTTAATGGTTTGTAAAAGAAAAGGAGCAGAAAATATGGGTAAAGTGATTTAAACCATGACATCACAGGCAGACCCTTCGAATAAAGTCAGCACTAGCTATTTACTCTTACCTTCACAGTAGTGTAATTGCTACTCTCCTGGATATGAATTAAAATCCCATTTTCACTTCTCGTTCTAAATTTCACTTCGAGACTATTGACCCCGAAAGGCTCCAGCATGTCCCCTCGGACGCTCTGTCTTAACAAATAGTCCCACTTTCGACTCTGGCTCATATGGTAGTCCAGTCGTCCTTTGCCCTCTAGAGACAATGCCGTGTCAGGAGTCATTGCTGAAGGACAAAGACAGGAAAATGAACTGAATTTTTCTTATAGATTAACACTCATAAGAAAAGTCCAAACCCTTCATCTTACAGTTAAGGAACCTGCTGAAGTGACAGATTTTGAAAAAGAACAAAAGAATAGCAGAATTGCATCGAATGCCGATGGAACAAAAATCTCTCTAAAAAACCCAAACAACTTTTTTTTCCACTTGTAGATTTGTGTTGATTCAAATTCTTGAATTAGTTTCTGTGCCTTGCAATGAAAAGCACTTTACAAGAGTCATCATTCATTGGTGAGATAGTCGTTAAAATAATTCCGGAGATAAATCACTGACATTTGGAGAGGTAGCCACCTGTTGGGAATCAGTAGTGATTAAACTGGCCTGGCCCATGATTTATTAACACTTTTTTAATGTCCTGGCTTGACATGTGGTTTCATACTTAATGTACTTTGGGAGTTCTTGATAGATTCCCATCTGTTTAACGTATGCACGGAGAGGTATCTGAGCAAATACTTTCATTCAACCCACCACCTTTATCAGCAGGGATCCCCCAGGTATACATATTATGTAGTCTCAGAATGTCTACGTAGTTGTGAAACAAGGGCATCGAAGGAAATAATAGGCCATGTTCCTGACATTGGGCAGGGCATAACTTGGAAGGTGAAAATCATACTCTGGAGGTCTTATATAAAGACTGCACATCATAGGGAATGGATGAACGAATTTTTTTTTTTTTTCACTAGCTCATCTCTCTTTTCGAGATAGATGTTTAGTCATTTTTTCAGTCATGTCTGATTCTTTGACCCCATTTGGGGTCTTCTTGGCAAAGATACTGGAGTGGTTTGCCATTGCTTTCTCCAGCTCATTTTACAGATAGGGAAACTTAGGCAAACCAGGTTAAGTGACTTGCCCAGGGTCACACAGTTAGTAAATGTCTTAGGCCAGACTTGAATTCAGGGAGATTAGTCTTCCTGAATTTAGACTTTAGACTCCCTCAACTACATCACCTAGCCCTATGATAGAGTAATATGGAACAGGCTGCATTCTTGAGGGCTCATTGACTTTTCACAAAGTACAGGGAGACATATCCTCTCTATTGAGATGTTCTGTCCTGGATAATGAAGCCTACTCACACCTGTCATAACTCAAGACACTTGATGACTCTTGACTCTTGATTTTATGGAGGGATTTCTTTTTGGTTTTTGCATGAGTTGTTGACTCCCCCTCTTTCCAAATCCTGGTGGAATAACTGCTGATTTAAGCACTAGAGATTAGCTACTTAGCTGTAACATTAGTCATCTGTGATAGCCCCACCCTCTCTCCCAACCCCAGTAAGGAGTGATAGATGAGGATTGGGGTTTGAGAATGCAAAGAAATTATCTTAAATTTAATTAAATGGCTTTGAAGGAAGAATCACAATCATATCTTGGACCTGAAAAATAGGTACACTGCCAAATTACTGAAGAGGTAATTTTTTTTAAAACCATTATCACAGTGTTTACAAATTAGTAATTCATGCCCTTCTGGTGACATTATGAGTTAAACGCTCAGTACTCTCATTTCTAGAATTTCCCACCAGACCTGAAATTTAAGCTAAGTACTCAACTTCCATTTGGAAGTTTGGAGTTTGAGAAATCTTCCCACCAAAGTATAAGACAACCCACCCAGAACTTAGTATGTCCATCCTGAAGTGATGCCTAAGGCTCTGTAAGGGGCCGTATTTATAGAAGGTGTCAGAGGCAGGATTTCCTGCCTAGGTTTTCCTGGCTCCAACTCAAGCATTTAGTACCTATTATACTGCTTCTCATCAGTTTATCCATTAATCATAAAAGCATTGTCATTTTGCTTACCAGTACAATAAATACCTTTTAAGCTGATCATTATCTTATAGGTGAAAAAAAAGTAAGTTATTGAATTTGACTCCATAATTAAGCGCTTAACCAAGAGTCTTGATTAATTCTCAATCTGATTTGATGCAACTAAGCAAGTGTCTAGGAATATATACAAAGATGTTGCCATACATACATTTCTCACAGTATTTCCCGGTCAATCCTTCTTTGCATTGGCACTGTTGCCATGACCAGTGGTCTGTGCATGCGCCTCCATGTTGGCATGGGCTGTTGGCACAAGCTCCTTCCAGTCTAGGGCACCTAAAATGAAGTAAAAACAAATTCTGAGCACCAAGAAATCAGCCTTGTTTCACCTATGTGATAAAGAAGAAGGTCTGCAGGCAAAATTTCTCCTCAGACATTATTAACTAGTTGTGAAGTCCCATGGGGCAGTGGGCTGTGTTTTATTCTTCCTTAGGTCTCCTACCACTCTTAGCATGGTGCCACGGGTCAGTCAGAAAATTTGTTAATCAAGAGTATATTTTAAAATGACATTAAGAAACATTGGAACTGATTTTGAATAAATTCTAATGATAAGAAATTTTATTAATACTGTTGTTGAGTAGTTTCAGTCATGTCTGACTCTTCATGATCCCATTCAGGGTTTTTTTGTCAGATACTGGAATGGTTTGCCATTCCTTCTCCAGCTCATTTTACATTTGAGGAAACTTGGGCAAAGGGGGCTAATTTATTTGCCCAGGATCACACAACTATTAACTGTCTGAGGTTGGATTTGAATTCATGAATATGAGTCTTCCTGGCTCCAGGTATGGCACTCTGTTCACTGAAACACCTACCTGTCCTAATCATAACAAATATGAGCCCCTAAATTTTCTGACTGCTAGGGTCCTGTGGTCATTGACAGAGGCATGCCCAAAAAAATGGAGAAAGGTACCAAGGTCAAGGTCATAATAATCATTACTAACCTTGTAGCATAGCCATCACTGTCCAGGCCTTTGGTGCTTTCTGTGCCTAAGAACTTAGGAAGCCTTACTAGTGTATAAGACATACCCAGATCATGACCTAGCTAATCAACCCAAGGTCTCCTCTGACATAGCATTCTTGCTACCCCTCTTTCAAGCATACTCAACCCTACAGTCACATAATAAGGGCTGTCTCATTATTGCTAAAAGAGAATCTCGTATTTTCTTTGATTTCAATGATGGGCAACAGGGAGCCAGGAGTGGAAAAACTGCTGATGGCCTCCTTAGGGCTCAGGTTAGCAGGGGCTCTATTCCTGCTCTATTGACTGACAGCCCTCTGCCTCTTTGATTGTACAAACAGTAGAAGAAAAGGCAATAACCCACAAAAAAAAGAGAAACTTGTCTGGCATAATGAATACAAACCAGCCACAGACTCCAAGACTTAAGATTCCATTAATACTTCTTATATGAATGAATAAGCATGTGAATGAGTGAAACAAATTATTGAGCACTTACTATCTGTCAAGCCTTGTGCTAAGCATGGGGATACAATTTAACCAAAAGCAACTCATCAATTTAGAAAGTAGAATGTAAGCTTCTTGAGGGTAGGTATTCTATTATGTTTATTTGTTTGTTTTTTAATTTGCATCCCAGTACCAAGACTAATACTTAATAAATGTTTATTAAATTAAATTCCCATTATATTCCCTGATTTTTGAATCTTCCTTCAAAACAACAACAGCAGCAGCAAAAGAATAGCTACCATTCATAAAGCATTTTAAAGTTTGTAAAGTGCTTTACAAATATTATTTCATTTGATCCCTACAACAATTCTGGGAAATAGGTCTTATTATTATTCTCACTTTACAGATAAGGAAACTCAGGCTCAAAGAGATTTAGTGATTTGTCCACAGTCACACAGCTAGTACATATCTGAGGTAAGATTGGAACCCAGGTCTTCCTGACCCCAAGTCCAGTACTCTGGCCCTTCCTTCTGTCTACTTATCTCTATCCTGCCCATTCTTCAAGAAATAGCTCTTTTCACTTTCTCCACAAATCTTTTCTTGATTTCTCTAAATTGTTTCTCATGTTCTTCTTCAAGAAAACTTATTGTCAGGGTCCTCCAATTCAGGCCCATGATTAAATTCAATGGTGTACCACATGTGAACACTATTTTGTATTGTACTTGTCTTTTCATCTCCCTTGGAACCTCAAAAAAACTAGATCACACTTTCCCCATAGCACCTCACATAATTCCAGGCACATTGATTTTTCAACTGAAGGGATCATTGAGTTTAATTCCTCCATTTTACAGATAAAGAAACTGAGGCACAAAGAGGTTAAATGATTTGCCCAAGGTAACACAGCCAACATGTGTCTGAAGCTAGATTCAAACTCACATCTTCCTGATTCCAAGTCCAATGCTCTGACCATCATGCCACCTAGCTGCCTGTGCCTAAATACAAGGTGTTCCCAAACTATTATTATAGTTTTAAACTGCACTCTAATGAATGTACTCGTGAGTGAATGAATGAATGAATAAATGCATTTTTAAACTGTGGTAAGACTTTGAGGAGTCTTGTATAAAAGTACAGAATTACAAGGTTCTGAATTCATAGACTCATGGAAACAGTGCTTAAAAGGATGTAAGAAATCATTTAAGTGAACCACTTCATTTTATAGATAACAAAACTGAGGCTCAGAGTCACAGGCATAGTTAAGGTAGAATTGGGGCTCAAAATTAGTTCTAACCTTTTGCCCTTCAAAACTTCTTAATGGAATAAATGGAAGCATAAACATTCTAAGTATTTCAATATGGCGGGATAATATGTTTAAGTAAGAGGGATTACTTAACCCTCCCCCCCCTTTTTTTAGCAAGTAGAACATTCTCAAATAACAGAGTAAAATCTTAACTAACTAAAACAACGTTTCAGCACCTTATGGAATTTGGGGCCTGGAGATATCTCCAGGCAAGAAAATCCAGGAACCAATGAATAGGAATTGTGTTTTCATGCTTCCTTATCCTAGGTACTAAATAGGAGGGTGATACTAAGTTGTGTATTTTCCAAAAGGCATTACTAGGTCTGTATCCCAAAGAGATTATAAAAAGGGAAAAGGATCCACATATACAATAATATTTATAGCAACTCTTTTTGTGGTGGCAAAGAATTGCAAACCAAGGGGATGCCCATCAATTGGGGAATGGCTGAACAAGTTGTGATCTATGAATGTAATGGAATACTATTGTGCTTTAAGAAATGATGAGCAGGCAGATTTCAGAGAAACCTGAAGAGACTTCCATGAACAGATGCTCAGTGAAGTGAGCAGAATCAAGAGAATAATTTACACAGTAACAGCAACACTGTGTGATAATCAACTATGATAGACTTAGATCTTCTCAGCAATGCAATGATCTAAGACTGGGGTAGGGGACCTGCAGCTTTACAGCCACATGTGGCCTTCTAGGTCCTTAAGTGTGATGCATTTAAGACCTAGAAAGTCACACATGTCTGTAAGGCCTCAGGTTCCCCACCCCTACTCCAAGACAATTCCAAAAGTCACATAATGTAAAATGCTATCCACATCCAGAGAAAGATCCATGGAGTCTGAACGCAGAACAAAGCACATTATTTTCACTTTTTTTGTTTGTTTTTTTCTTTCTCACATTTTTCCCCTTTTCTTCTAATTTATTTCTCACAACATGACTAATGTGGAAATATGCTTAACATGATTGTACATATATAGCCTATATCAGATTGCTTGTTGTCTTCAGGAGGGAAGAGAGGGGGAGGGAGAAAAATTTGGAACTCAAAATTTTGTAAAAATGAATGTTGAAAACTATCTTTACATATAATTGGAAAAAAATACTATTAAGTGTGTGTGTGTGGGGGGGGGGAAGTACACCATTTACTTACAATAGGTCCAAAATAACATTTGTAACCATAACTGAATAGATGCACCCAAACATAGAAATATAGTGGATAGCACAATTATAATTTCTCCAAGTAGAACTAGAAACACAGCCGGCATACCGATCGAGGATCCCATGAGCTGCCAATGCTTGACTGGGTTCCAGGGGGCGTCCATTAATGGCAAACTCCATTATGCAACCAACGAAATCATAGCTTTCCACTTGTCCTCTCCTTTGAAGCACTGGCTCCAGGGACCTGATGCCACCAACTGTAACTCTGTTTGGCTGTACGTCAAGAGTCCTGAACAAGAGAGAGAAAAGCCAGTGTATTCTAAGTGATCATTCCGTCAGTGGCGGCAGCATAAGCAGCTTATGAAAGAGCATGTGTATCTTTTCTGTATTGTTTCATTATATTTTATAGTCACTTTGGGTCTAAATATGCACTACCCTGACAAAAAGGATTCATTAAAGAGTGCTATTGTTTGCCAATATTTTCTAATTGTGGTTGATGTTTAAATAATAACACAATCCTATGATGATAATAATAGCTACCATGTAAATAGCACTTCAGGGTTTACAAAGCTCTTAACATACACCGATCTCATTTGGTCAGGTGGTCAGTGAATCCATAAATATTTGTTAAATGCCTTCTATATGCTAAGCACTGTATTGAGTGCTGGGGATACAAAAAGAGGCAAGACATAGTCACTGCCCTCAGGGAACCTACGGTATAATAGAGGAGATAATAAGCAAAATATTTACACAAATAAGCTGTTCACTTCCTAGCTGTGTGACCCTGGGCAGGTCATTTAACTTCCAAATGCCCTCAAGGAAGTCTCTGTTTAGAATGAATTGTCCATGTAAAGGGTGTCTCCCCTGGGAGATTCTTTCACAGATGAAATCACAGGTACATCTACACCCTACATCCCCCTCAAAAATAATTAAAAGTCCAATATTTAATTAGACCTTTTTCAAGACACTTCAACCCCTTAAAAGAACCTTATTTTTAATCAACAGTAAATGTTGCTTAAATGAAGTAATAATTGTAAAGCACACAGTACAGTTCCTGGTCTATAGTAAGTGTTATATAAACATTAGTCATTATCATTATTAACAACAATAATAATAACTTATAAAATTCAATAGCAGTGACTTCTACTATCCCATAAGCACCTGTATTTTCCTTGATTTCACAGATGATCTAAAAGAGCCTAATCTTATTAAAGGTATCTGCAGTGATCCAATTTTAGTTGCTGATGGTGTTGCAGCTTTTAATAGAAGATACATTCTAGTATTTTTGTAGTTAGGGACAAGACAGGAAATGTCATTGACCATATGAAGAAATTCCCTATGTCACTGTAGATCGGTACCTTCTCTACAACTGGCAGTCAGAGTTGCCTAGAGCACTGAGAGGTTCAATAATGTGTCCAGGGTCACAGAGGCAGTATGTGTCATAGCCAGGACTTGAACCCAGATCTTCCCACCTGATGCTAGCTGTCTGGACACTATATTCCAGCGGTCATCAGCAAACACAGGATTATCGATTTCGAGCTAAAAGGGAGTCTCAGAGGTCATCTCTTACAACTTCTTCATTTTTAGATAAGGAAACTGAAGCCCAAGGAAGTCAGGTAGAGTCAGAAGCAGGATTTGAACCCAGTTCCTTTGACACCAAAGTCATTTAGTCAACAAGCATTTATTAAGTCTTGACAATGTGCCAGACTCTGGAGATACAAAGGTAAAAAGATCATCTAGCAAAGAGCTCCCATTCTAATGGAGGAGACAACATACAGACAAATCTATAAAAACAAGATATAGCCTTTGATTGTATCACACTGCCCACTATTACAAACAACCATTAAAAGCAAACTTGTTTCATGGAGATATTATGGAAATCTTAACTATCCTTCAAGACAGCTCAAGTTCCAAATCCTTCATGGACCTTTTCCCAATCATAATTCCATTGATCTCACTCTTCTCTAACCTCCTTCATGATTTTAATCTTTGTTTCCCAATTTACACATGCTATCTTTTTCACCAATTACATTAAATATGTCTATGAGGTTCCTACTCCCAGGCATCACACCTTCCACCACTTCCATTTTCTACAATGCCTACTCTGGTCTAGGCATGGAGTAGGACTATAAATATATTTGTTGAGGGGCTTTTGATGCTAATTGAAGCAACAATTTGTCTGAAAATTGTAAATTTCCTTTTTCAAAATATTGAAGAATTAGACAAAGACAATTTAAAAATCACCTCACCAGTCATCTGAGACAGCCATAGTACTGACGGTACAGTAGCCTGGTTCTTGGTCTTCAGAGCAGGAATCCACAGTTAGGGATGCTGCCTACAAAGCAGGGGAAAGAAGGAATTAGTTCTTTGATGACTCCCATGTTATGGGGACAATCAGATAACCCAGGGATTTGTTCCATGTAGAAATAGCTGATGTAGATACAATTGTCTGTACATGATATAGATATAACTACGTAGACATCACAAGGCATGGCCAAATGAGGACATACTTTGATTCTTAATGACATGACTTCAAACCTAGAGACACACAACCTTGCATCTTCTTGAGTGATGTCTATAGAAATGGAGTCAGTAGATTTTTCATCTGCTCTTCCATAACAGCAGAGTTGCCCTCTCTTTAAAAAATGATTTGAAAAGGCAAGTGATGTCATTGTAATGCCTTATAAAACTTGTGAAACTTTTGCTATATTTGGACAGAATAGATAAAAGCCCTTTATTTGACTACTTTGAATCTGTTACTCATTTTCCTGTAAGATAAAGAAGGCAATTTTACATATAAAGTTATAACATGATCTGTATGTAGATAGACCCTTAGTTTAATGCTATTCCATTATTTTTGTAAGTCACACTAATATTTGATTTAATCCAATTTGATAAATGATTAGTAAGTGTTTTGTATGTGTAATGAATAGTTATCTACTGAGAATAGGAAGACAATGTTAAAAACAGTCCAAGATTTTAAGTTTTTGTTCCATTAGGGGTATGGTGTATTTGTATGCTTACCACTTAGCACAGTAGGTCTTTTATTTTTAATGAATACTTGTTGAATTTACTAGATACTTGTTAAATTGAACTGAATTGGTGGCAAATGAAGGGTTTGGGTGATTTCAGCCTCAGGCTCCAAATGGGTAAGCTATCACGATGCTAAGGGATGCTATTCACCATTCTGATTAGTTAGTGCTTCTGACTTTTTCAACTGTTTTTATATCGATGACCATCTTTTATTCTCTCAGATCTGTAAAACAGGTATGTTTCTTTTGAAATGGCTGCCTATTCAGCATCACAGAGCAAGTTGGTGGTGAAACTAGAACCTATATCTTCTGGCTCTTACACAATACTGGGAGAAGCACTGGTATTGGAGGAAAAGCATCTGTTTTCAAATTTCACCCCTACTATTGCACGATCTGGGGCAAGTCATAATTCTCATTTCTTACAGCTGTAAAATAAGGAAGGTAGACTCGGTATCTAAGGTCTCTTTTAACCCTAAAGCCTACGAGTCATGTTTATTAGTATGTCTGTTGGCAACAATTCTTTTCTTTTTCCATCTTTTTTAGGTACTTTCCAACTACTTGAGTTCCTCCAGGGCAGGAAATATATTTTGCCATTTTTACATCTCCAATGCTTAGCATAGTGCCAGGCACATAAATACGTACTAACTATATTTAGTTACCATTTAGTTACCATTAATAAATATGTACTAACTATACTTAGAAATGGGAGAATTGCAAAAGTATTCTCTAACAGGAAAAACACAATTCCTCAGATTTCATAAATATCAAATCAATTCATGGTAGACATCCCATTTTACTAGCTGAAATAGATCTTTATATTTCTAGTCTATTTTTTTGCAAGATATATCAAAAATAAAGTCTCATTAAGCCCATGTAATGCATCACATGGATTTTTTTATGTGTCTACTTCTCAATAACATACTGTATATGGTAACATTTGGGGTAAATATTCATACTTTTATTTCCATGACAAATCACCAGGATCTCATCTGCAAGTTCTTTTGATATACTGTACCCTCGTGATTTTCTAAATGGTGCCTTAGTGTTCTGAAAGACTTAATGTACTTCCCAAACATGAGTGGCATTTTGTTCTCAATAGCAGGATTAAGATAGGATGATTCCTTCCTGAAAATTCTTAAGCTGACTACATGCCTTGATTGATGAAGCACTTCTTTTGAATCTGTTTTCAAAATGTAAGGCTTAAATCACATATCTCCTTATGAAACAAAGGTAATACCTCTTCTGGGAAAAATCAACATGTTTCCTAAGAACATCACCCTCTGGTGACTATGGAACACACTCATGTAGTTAGTTTATAAGGATGCATTAAACCGTGTTTGTCATGAGAAACAAAAGATAAAGAATATTAAGGAAAATTAATTTTTAAGAAAGAAAGGAAAGAAGGAAGGAAAAGAAAGAAAGAATTCTAGAATTCACAGAATAGAAGGGAATTTAGAAGGAAACTGAAAAGCAGGATGACTTTGGAATTAATGGGCTGAATTTATCATATATTTATAAAAGATATATACATATATATATATATAATGGAGATACAGAGTTTCATAGGTAATCTTTTTCTGCTATTCTTTGCATATTAAAGTGTTCATATTTAATGATGTTTATTAAGTTCAGAATAACAAAAAAGGGTGTTTTCACAAGGATAGAAAAATACATATACAGAAAACCTGGAAAACTACCATTTTGATTTTAGGTCTTCCAGTAATTATATTTCCCCCCAAATTTAATATTTATTATCTGCATTCTAAAAGTAAGCATAATGGCTGTACTTGTATTTTAGATCATGTTCTATTTGGATCAGAGTTCCTTATAATTCAGTTTCTACAGTCAAATATTCCTTCGTCTTAGACTAGCATTTCTCTACAATTACTTCTTTGAGTTGAGATGTTTCTATTCTGTTGCTGCAATATTTCAAAACTGAAAAGTTAATGACTTTACCATTTTCCAACCAAATCCCTCTACACAGTAAGACATGACAGATGCAAAATCCAGTAGACCCTTTATTTTCTATGCCTTTTGAAAAAAAAGGAAAAAAAATCCATATTCCAGAATTACAGAAGACTAGATCTTTGCACATTTTGCACTGCTAAACTGCAGCTGGCACAAGATGACAAAGAAAAGGGAAGGGTGGGCCCTCCTATGGAGGCATTTTGATTTTCTCAGTTCTTCCTTCCCTTCTTCCACACATACATATTTTGTAGAATCTTGGAAGCTCAAAGATGAAAGATGCCATAGAGTCATCCAGTCCATTCTTTCAGTTAATGAATTGACGCCTTTTACAATATCTCTGACAGATGGCTTTTGCTTGAACACTTCCAATGGCATGGAACTCTCGACTCAGAATCATCCTGATTCATTTTTTAAACAGGTCTAGTTTTTAGAAAATAAAAGGATCAGAGAATCATAGATTTATAGCTTGAAGGGACCTTAAAGACCATTGGGTACAACCATTACATTTTACAGATGAGGAAACTGAGTCATGGGGAAGTTAAATGACTTTCCTAAGGTCCCATTTAAGTATCTAAAGTGTGATTTGAACCCAGGTCTTCCTGGTTCTCAGTCTAGTGCCTTATCTACTATGCCATACTTCTCAGGCCATTATTTTAGATGGACCTAAAATCAACTAGTATGTAATATCAACTCAATGTTTCTAATCCTGATTTGTGAAGTGATGTTGAATAAATTGATTCCCTCTACTAGATGAGAGATTCTATAGTATCTGATAATGGCTACCCTACCCCTTTCATTTTAATCTCTAGGCTAAATTTTCTTCAGCCATTCCTCATATGTAGTGGCTCTCCTACTATGCTGGTTATACTCTTCTGTACATGCTTTATTTTAGCTATGCCCTACTTAAAATATGGTCTCCTGAGCTAAATTCAGTGTTCTGGATGCAGTTTGTCTAGTTGAAACTTCGGAAAGAATCTTGATCCCATTGATCTGGGCACTGAATTCTATTTCTGCTTTTTCAGTTGGCATTGCTGGCTCATGTTGACCTTGGAATCAACTAAAATGCCAGGTCTTATTCACTCCAGCTACCTTAAAGACAAACGAGACATCCCCCATCCTGGATTTTTAATTCACACCATTAGCTGTGGTTTTCTTTAGAGAGGTTTGCAAAGTACTTTCCACGCAGTGAGTCTGTGAGTTGCTCCTGGCAAAGAAGTAAGTCAATGAGAAAGGTTACTTCTGAGTCCATCTCCCTTAAGAAATTCCCCCAAAAAATATTTAAAAGGGTTCCAGATGAATTAATGATCAATAAAAGGAAAGAGAAATACCAATAATTTTCTTTAGTCTGGAATTAGGCAAGGTAAGGTAGAGCAAGAAGCATTTCTTAAACATTTCCTGAATGGAGGTACCTGAAACTAGCACTATTTCCAAAATTCTAGGGTCCCAAGAGAAGACCAAGCAGGCAAAGACAAGGCAGCTAGTGATATTAAGCCTGAAATAAGGAAGACTTCTCTTTTTAGGGCATTTATGTCTCTTTAAGGATTTGAATGGTCATTCCTGGAAATGGGATTTGACCTTTCTGTTTGACTCCAAAAGGTAGAACTAAAAACAGTGGGTGAAGGGTTTAGAGAGACAGATTTGGGAAAGATGTATGGGGAAAAAATGCCCTAATAGAGCAAGCTGTCTAAATGTAGAATGGACTGCCTTTGCAGATAGTGAAAGACTTGATGACCATTTATCAGGAATAGTATTAAAGAGATATCTTTTTAGTTAGGGTTTAAAGTATATGCCCTTTGAGATTTCATTTATATTTGAGATTCTGTTATTTTGATACCTTTAAGGGAAATATTTCTTTTAAAATCACATGCTATAATTTCCCCAAATCAGCAGCGTAATGAATGTACCCAATTTTACTCAATTTAAAGTCCAATTCATGCTAATCTTTTCGGTCACACAAATCTGAGACGCAATACCTTTACTTTCTCATACACCAATGTCTTCTTTGGAAAAGATCCCGATGCTGAGAAAGATTGAAAATAAAACAAAAAGGTGATGGCAGAGGATGAGATGGATAGATACAGTGTTATGGAAGCAACAAACATGAGCTTGGGCAGACTTTGGGGGACAGTGGAGAATAGAAAGGCCTGGCATGCTGGGGTCTATGGGGTCACAAAGAATTGGAATAGCTGAACAGCTGAACAACACACCAATGCCTTACCATGCCAGCTCTCCGGGCGATGACAGTATGGAAATGTCCATCGGACACCTTTTTCATTGTGGTTAGTTTATATGTGCCGCTGCCAATGTTATAGGAGAACCTCAGTCGCTCTTCTGCTATTTCCAGGGCCAAGAACTCAGCCCGTTCACCCGTCTGGTTGTCATAGTTATACAACAGCAAGGCATGGCTTTTGATGGTTGCAAACTTGACATATATGTAATTGTTGTTGGGGTCCAAGCTGGGAAATTCCATGTATGACAATTCCTCAAATCCATAGCTATTCAATTCACAGTGTTTTCCAAAGACTCCTAGAGTTGAGAAAACACATATAGAATCAAAGAGACAATTTGAATATACCCACCTGAGCCTAGGGAAGCTTTTTTTTTTTTTAAATGAGGTTAGCTTCAAGGATACCTTTGTGCAGAACTATGATGAAACCAGCTCAGCTTATATGGGCTCAGGAGATCTGATTGTTAAATTGTTAGTGTGAACATTTACACCTTAAAAATCAGTAAATTAGGGGCAGCTAGGTGGCGCAGTGGATAGAGCACTGGCCCTGGAGTCGGGAGGACCTGAGTTCAAATCTGGCCTCTGATGCTTGACACTTACTAGCTATATGACCCTGAGCAAGTCACTTAACCCCATTGCCTAGCAAAAAAACAAAATAAAGCAAAAAAATCCGTAAATTATATAAATTAGGGCTTGATTTATTATTTTGTTGATTGTATAGACTTAAAATAATAGAGAAAATACTAATGATGAAGATTAAACTTAAAAGAGTGTCATGGTTACGTTTAATTTTTAAACATTTTTATCTAGAGAGCCAGTTATTAAAAATTTACCAGTACATCCCTGCATTCACATGGCCAAGTGAAAACCTGTGATCGAAGAAATCAGTCAATCAACATATATTTGCTAAGGGCTCCTATTGTGTGTCAGGTGAATAGTTATTTTGAAGCAGTCTCTACTCAATGAGCTTTTATTCTAACAAGGAAGATAATGTGGATCCTAATAAAATACTTGGGGAGAATGATAAAGTACTGAGGAATTTTTATTTGATGGCCTCTTTAGTGTTGTCCTAAACACAAAAGGCATTTAATAAACACTCATTTTTACACTTCCCCACTTTGGCCGCTAGGTGGCACAGTGTACAGAGTATTGGGCATGGAGCCAAAAAGAGCAGAATTGAGATCCAGTGACCCTGAGCAAGTCACTTAACTTCTGCAGGGCTCAGTTTCCCCATCTGTAAAATAGGGGTAATAATAGCACCTGGCTCCCAGGGTTGTTATGAGGATAAAATGAGACATAGTTGTATATTTGTAAAACACTTTGCATATATACATGTATGTTTATATTATATATGTACTATGAATTATGCAAGCATAATCACATATAGTTAATATTACATATTTTATAATATAAATATAAAACAAATATCACAATAAGTGATATAATTATATGTAATTAATATTATGTTTAATGTAACTCTAACAGAAAATCCAAATACCACATATATAATATAAAATACATAGTGTAATGATATCTAACTAATATTGCATATTATATAATACAAACATTATATATGCCTACAATATTGGATATTATTAATATTTGTTGTTATTGTTATTATTTTAGTGTTCATGTTTTCTTTGGTGTGGGTTCCCTCTCCCAGTGCCTTGACTGCAATCCCTCTACTCCTTTAGATATTAAATGCATGAGCTACTACATTTGAAGGCTTTGTTCCCATGGGGCCAATATGGCCCTGAGCATCTTTGAACTTAGCCAGCCTTGGATTTACCAGACTGATAGACACTCCAAGATGGGAAACCTTTGCAGCTTGCCAGGATTTGGGGAAAATCATGTGCTCTTCTGATATAGTTTTCTGTGACCCAGAGTCATCTCAAAGACATGATAAGGCAGTGAATCACCACAATTAGTGGATGTTCCATATGGATTTCAGAATCTTCCGTTCCGCAGTGATTTTATTTTATTCAAGCTACTATCACTGCATGTATTTTATACTCTCCCAACAACTCCAAACCCATCTCTAACACTAATACTATTTTGAGGAGCAGCCAGGACTGATCTTGAAAACCCAAAAGCCAAGCTATACTCACCAAATGGACAATGGCAGTAGTAGGATTCCACTCCACTCTGGCAGGACCCCCCATTAAAGCAAGGGTTGCATTCACAATAATTTACAGAAGATTCACACATTTTCCCTGAAAAGTGGCAAAGAAATGAAAATGATTTTACAAATGGAAGTATGGAAATCTTCCTTAAGTAATTATGCTATGATCACTTAGAACATTTTTTTTCCTTAAGCCAGAGAAAACTTACCTTATAGAGGGCGTCCTAAAAGTCTTAATGCAGTTTTAAACTACATTTTAAAATGCACTAAGATTTTGAGGATGTCCCTTATTAGGAAAGTCAAGAAAAATTATTTTGTGAGGTATATTTTATTTACTATTTTAAAATGAGAGCTATTTATTCATTTATCTATTTATTTATGTATTTGTTTGTTATTTGAATGAGAAATTTTAAATGCATTCTTGGAAGAGACTGTTTACTAAAACTCATTACATTTTCAGAGACACTGTGCAGTCAAATGTGGTGTTTTTTAGACCTGGGTTCAATCCTTCTTCTATCATGAGTTGTTTAGCTCTGGATAAGTCCCTGAACCTCTCTTAACTTCATTAAGTCTCTAAGACAGGGGCTCTAAACATTTTCTGTGTCATGGACTCCTTTGGCAATCTGGTGAAGTCTATGGAACCTATGTCAAAATAATATTCTTTAATAACTTAAAGAAAAGTTAAATGGGGCAGTTAGGTGGTACAGTGGATAGAGCTCTGGAGTCAGAAGGACCTGAATTCAAATCTAGGCTCAGACACTTACTAGCTGTGTGTCTGTCGCTTAACAAACAAACAAACAAACAAATGAAAGAAAGAGAAGGAAGGAAGAAAGGACAGAAGGAAGGAAGGAAGAGAAAGAAAGAAAAAGAAAGAAAGGCTAAATTTCAGTTAGAAGTTAGTGAAAGTAGATACATTTTTTTTCTCCATCAAACTTCATAGACCCCCCTGCCTGAAATCTATCCCTAGACCCTAGACCCAAGATTAGAACTTTTCCTCTTAAGAAAAAAAGTTATGGTTAGGAGAGTGTCCCTTCTAATCCATAATGGAAATCACAGATCCTCGACACATGAGACAAATGAAAACTTGTGAAAATCATGGGCATTTGAATGGTTCAAATGTATCTGAGTTTTGCTGTGATCTCATCTCCTGCTACATTTTATCTCCAGTCTGGGGAATGTGCTGTGTTCTCTGCTCTGCATTTGTTTTCCAGACGCTGAGATTTTTATATTATCCATAACACATTCATAGACCAGATTTATTTCTATCTGCCAAACATTTTCCCCTTTAGATTCCAACAACCTTTCCAGAATCACATGAACTCAGTGCTAAAGTCCAAGCAACTAGTGTGCATCCTCTGCCATCAGATATGTCCGCTGTCACTTCTCCCTTCAATTTCAATGACGTTTCATCAAAGATGGAGGTTGAGTCAATTTAAAAAACCAGAGAATGTTTACAGTTGCTTTTGGTCAAATTCTTGTTGACTTGGCTTAACTATTCCCTAGAGCATTCAATTAAAAATATGATGGCTGTCTCCATCAGTTGTCTTTTGCTCTCCCTCTGTGATTAACACATATTTAGGATGGTCAGTCTGTGCTCTGACATAGACTACTTTCTAATTTTCTAAATCTAACAGTGGGTCCACAGGGTTTTAGAATGATAGACTCATAGAATTTCAGAAGTGACCTTTAACCAGACTAGATGCATTTTCCTTGAAGGCTACAACTATCTTGTTAGTGCTTTTATTTCTCCCTTTCCTAGAATGTGGTATTATGTATTGTAGTAACTTAAGAAATCTTGTTAGGTTAATTAAGTGATTAATTAAGCAACTTGTTAATTAGTCATTCCAAGGTTTAATTAACAATCGGTATTCTCTGCCTCAAAGACTTTGCAATATGCATGCCAGTATAAGATGACATCTATTGAACATATGTGTTTTTAAAGATTATACCCTCTACTCTAAAAATGGCTTGTTCTTTTTTTTCCTTTTTTGAGCCTTCTTTCTAAAGATATAAGCCAAGCCCTGTGAATCTCCCATTATGTTTCAATTGCTGGATGCTGTTGTCATGAGGGATATGGTTTTAAATGAAGATAAGGCACAGCTTACAATATTTCTCTAAATATAGATCAGTATTGCCCTTCCTTCCTTCTTTTCTACCTTCCTTCTTTCCTTCCCTCCTTCCTTCTTTTCCTTCTTACTTATTTTAGATGGTACTAGTAATCAACTTCCAAGGTAAAATTCTGAGCTGACCATATCAGATATCATGTAGAATGGGGTGTGGGGATGAGTAGGGAAGGGGAACATTCTTTCCAGTAACAGTGATGACCTGTATTTTTTTTTATTTAAGCAAAATAAGAGGGTGTTTATATTTAAACAAAACATAGATGAGAATTTTGATACAACAATATTTATGAAGAAAGGTTGCATGATGTTGAAAAGGGGTCAGCAAATGATGACTTACAGGCCAAATCCAGCTTGTCATCTGGTTTCTTTATGGACTGTGGGTTTAAAATTATTTTTTTAAGATTTTTTTTTTACATTTTTAAATGACTCAAAGATGTCAAAAGAAGACTAAGACTTCATGACACATGGGAAATATGTGAAATTCAAATTTCGGTTTTCATAAGTCATGTTTTGTTGGAATGCAGCCATCTGGTTCATATATGTATTTTCCATGGCTTCTTTCATGCTACAATGGCCTGGTGGAGTAGTTGCATGAGAACAAATATGGAACTCTCACCACTTTCAGTTTAATGCCCAGCACACTGCAAATTGCAGTGATGCAGTTATAACTCAACGGTGTTTGAAGTGTCAGATACGTTATCATTACCTACCTCAACTTAAAAAAATACTGGTATATACTCATCATGTCAAAATAAGAAAAGAAGTGATAAGCAATAGTTTTATTATGACTGTTTGATCTCAGAGCCAAGAATTATTTTTTTTTTCTAAAGAAGAGGAACTACCCTCAACAGCTATTGAACACTGACTGAGTGGGTTTGATAATTAGCTTTTAATGTGATTTGTTTGTGTTTCTTAATGAATTCAGCCTAAATTTATAGGGCAAAACAGCACTTGTATGTGAAACTTATGCTGTGATAAAGTTAGTTCAATGACAACTAACACTGTTCACATCATAAGGAATGTCAAGCTGCTTTATGTAGTTCCCATGGTGTTAGAAGTTAAAACGAGAAGCAAGATCACTATTCCAAAGCAAATGTTCAGTGGCTATATTTTCCAAGCTCACACCACAATTTAAGCATCATTTTTTGGAATTCAGTACATGTGCAAAACAAATCCATATTTCAGTATCCTTTTAACAATGCAGTTAAGTAGCTTCTACTTAACTTCAATTGGAAGTGATTAATCTTCAATGTAATAACATGCTAAAAGGTAAACATTTGTTAAAGAAGTGAATCTAACAGAATTTTATAAATGCCTTCCAAGCAATGAATATGCTCAATTAAAATCTTATGCTCATGGATTCTAGCAACATGTCACAAAGATCATATATGATCTACAGGAATGTAGAGTTGATTCAATATTAGGAAAATTATAAGCATAATTGACCAAATAACAAAAAAAAAACATATGATTGTATCAAGAGATGCATAAAAAAGCTTTTTTTTTTTTTACAAAATACAACATTCATTGTTGTTAAAAACACTAGAAAGTATAGGAATAAATGAAGCCTTTCTTAAAATGATAAGTAGTATTTATCTAAAACCAAGAGCAAGTGTTATTTGTAATGGGGATAAACTAGAAGCCTTCCCAGTACAATGAGGGATGAAGCATGTTCATTGCCACCACAATTATTCAGTATTATATTAGAAGAGCTATTTATATAATATATAATATTTATATAATAAATAAGACAAGAAGACAAGGAAAATAAATTAAAGGAATTAAAGTAGGCAATAAGGAAACAAAACTATCACTCTTTGCAGATGACAGGATGGTATACTTAGAAAACCCTACAGAATCAACTAAAAAACTAGTTGAAACAATTACTTTAGCAAAGTTGCAGGATATAAAATAAATCTACATAAATCATCAACATTCTACATATTACCAACAAAATCCAGCAGGAAGAGATAGAAAGAAAAATTCCTTTTTTTTTTGGCTAGGCAATGGGGTTAAGTGACTTGCCCAGGGTCACACATCTTGTAAGTGCCATGTATCTGAGGCTGGATTTGGACTTGGGTCCTCTTGAATCCAGGGCCAGTGCTCTATCCACTGTGCCACCTAGCTGCCCCTGAAAAATTCTTTTTAAAATAACTACAGACAATATAAATTACTTGGAGTCAACCTGCCAATAAAAACCCAGAGGCTATATGAACATAATAACAAAACACTTTTTGCACAAATAAAGACAGGTCTAAATAATTGGGGAAATATTAATAGCTCATAAGTAGGCTGAGTCAATATAGTAAAAATGACAATTCTACTAAGTTAATTTACTTATTCAGTATAATACCAATTAAAGGATCAAAGAATATATTTATAGAGATGGAAAAAATAACAAAATTTATTTGGAAGAATAGAAGATCAAGAATATCAAGAGAATTGATGAAAAAAACTTTAGGAAGGATGCCTAGCAATACCAGTTTTCAAACTATATTACAAAGTGGCAATCATCAATCTGATACAGGCTAAGAAATATAGTGATAGATCAGTGAAATAGATTAGGTACACAATATAAAGTAAAAAATGACCATACTTATCTAGTGTTTACTAAACACAAAGTTTGAAATTTTGGAAGCAAAAACTCGCCATTTGACAAAAATTACTGGGAAAACTGGAAAGCAGTTTGGCAGAAACTAGACATATACCAACATCTCATACCATATACCAAAATAAGGTCAAAATGGAAACATGATTTGGATGTGATGGGGGATATTATAAGTAAACCAGGAGAGTACGGAAAAAAAAAAAACTTACCTGTCAGATTTATGGATAAAGGAAGCGTTCATTTCTAAACAACATAGAGAGGATCATGGGGAGTAAAATGGACAATTTTGATTATATGAAATTTAAAAAGTTTTTGCACAAACAAAACTAACGAAGCCAAAATTAGAAGGAAAGCAGGAAA